CGTTGCTAATCGATCATCGGTATCGGACTTTGGGGAGGACAGTTTTTATGTGGGCTCTTGGGAGAGGAGAGAAATAACGAGCTGAGACGGGAACATGAAACTCCAAGCGCACGTTTTCTTCGCTTCCATCGACCAGCGGAGCGAGCGGGCCGCCGGAGAAAGCGCGTGCACGGCGCTGGTCGCCGTGATTGCCGACTGGCTACAGTGCAACCGGGACCTCGTGGTTCCCATCAAGTCCCAGTTCGACGCCCTGATTCGCGAGGGGTCGTCTGCGTGGAGGACCCTCTGCCGAAACGAGACGTACAGGGAAGCATTTCCCAACGGTCACTTTGACCTCGACACGGTCCTACGAGCCAAGATCCGCCCGTTATCCGTTTCACCAGAGAACTCGTTCGTCGGGTTCTTCCATCCGGACAATTACCCGGACGACGGGAGTTTCGACTTCTTGCGCGGGGCCATGTCATTCGACGAAATCTGGAACGAGATTAGTCGCGCTGACGTCACTAATCACCCTCGGGTGTATATCGTCAGCTGGAACGACCATTTTTTCGTCCTGAAAGTGGAACCCGAAGCTTACTACATAATTGACACATTAGGGGAGAGGCTGCATGAGGGCTGTAATGAGGCCTATGTACTGAGGTTTGACAAGGACACAAGAATCTGCAGTGACAAAGAGGAAGAAGAGGAGAAGAGTGTTTTGTGTGAAGGGAAAGAGAGTTGCAGAGATTACATAAAGAAGTTTCTGGCTGCGATTCCGATCCGGGAACTGGAAGCGGACGTGAAGAAAGGTCTGGTGAAGTCGTCGACTCCCCTTCATCACCGGCTTCAGATCGAGTTTCACTTCACCTGCAAGTGATGATGATGATAAAGAGCTAGAGGAGGCATATATATATATATATATATATATATATATATATATATATATATATATATATATATATATATATATATATATATATATATATATATATATATATATATATATATATATATATATATATATATATATATATATATATATATATATATATATATGGCAATAACAAGTCTGCTGAGTTTCAAATGTAAATCTAAAGAAGAGTGGTTAGGATGAATTGGTTCTTAGTTCTTGCTTTTTGGCTTCTTCTTCTTCCTTTTTTCTTTTTTGTTTCTTTTAATTTGTACTCTAATTTGCATGAAAAGTGTGTAGCTTAACCTTATGAGTTTAATTTTGTCATTGTAACACATTCAGTTCTGTAATGGACAAAGCCATTCATGTAAGTGCTGCAGAAGGTAACAAAGAGGAAAACCAAAATTGCAATAGGGTTCTTTTCATTCATTCATATAAAGACATGCAACATGTACCATACATATAATCTCTTCATCAAAGCTAACATATAATATTGCCAAATCAGAAGTTTAGCACATTCTCAGTCTCTCTTCATCCAATGATGAAAACTAGCTAGGACCTAGAATTTAAAATTTAAAAAAAATGAATTAAAGAAAGAATAACGTGTCTACGAAGAACTCGGCATCAAAAAAATTAAGAAATTGGATGTTATTTGAATCGCCCGATACCCGAACTCAAAGTTCAAGCAATTGATTCGCGTAGGTCTCGACATCCCCGAGAAAGTCATTGCCAAAATAGTCGTCCATCAACATCGATTCCAGCTCGTCCAAATCCACAAAGTGATTCGCGTTTGCGGGATCTTCTTCGGACTGGATCATGTAGTGTGATGCCAGCTCGCTCAAATCCCACTCATTGGTCGATGACTTGGTCATGTAGTCCGAATCAGACTCGTCCAGATCAACCAACTGAGAAGAGTCCCAGTCGGACCGATTTCCTTCTTCTTCGTTTGGACCGGGTAACTTGTTTATGTTCATGACCGCGTCCAAATTGCCCAAATCAGCCATCTGATTCCCATCCAGAAAACTTGTCTTTTCTTCGGCTCCAAGAAGACAGCTGGGATCGCCGAAGATGTAGGGATCGTTAATGTATTCTTCTGAATCAGACTCGCCCAAATGAGAAGGCTCCCAATCCGACCGATTTCGGTTTTTTCTATCTGGACCGGCCGGTAACTCGTTAACGTTGACGGCGTCCAAATCGCCCAAACCGGCGAACTGATTCCCATCCAAACCATTTTCTTCTTCCTGTTCGGATCCGAGGAGAGCTTTGGGGTCGCCGAAGATGTATGGCTTCCCGGCGGGGGAGAAGACGAGGGAGGCGACGCGGGTTCCCGGGTATAGGCTGCACAGCTCGTTGGCTTTCTTGAAGAGCCCCTGGCGGCGCTTGGTGAAGCAGATGTTTCTTCTCTGCAAACACTCGATTTTCTTGATCTCGATTTTGGCCTTCCCTTTCCCCATTGATTTTCTCTCTCGATTCAATTCACAAATCACAAAGAAGAAGAAGAAGAAGAAGAAGAAGGAGAAGGTGATTAAAGCAGGGGATGAACGGGGAATTGGGGGTGTGGGGAGGGTTAAATAGGGCGGGAGCGGGAGGTTTGGAGCTCGGAGAAGAAGACCGTTGGGATCTGCTTTCTTGATTTTGGAGCGTTTGGATTTTGGAAATTCTTCCTTGAAATTCCCACTCAAAATTCCCTCAAGTCCGCACTCTTTTTTGAAATTCCCTCAAAATTCCAGCCATCATTTCATTTGAAGTTAATATTTTAAAAAACAATAAAAGTTAAATTTTTTATATTTATATCAAAATTATTAAACAAATAAAAGATGACAAGTATATTTTTCTTTGTCAAGTATTTAACGAGAACGAAAAATAAACCAAATTTATTGTGATTTTTGAAATAATGAAGTGTGTGCTTCATTTTGGAATGAAGGGGTAATGTTATTTTGATGGTGTGTGTGATTCCCTTGTACACCTAAAAATAACTTAGAATCTACTATTTTTGTTCTGAAAAGATTGTCACAATTTGACTTTATTGTTCAAATTGTGACACACTTTGACTACAGGTTAAATTTATTTTAAAAAATTAAATGTTATAAAAATTGATATTTCAAAAATACATTTTAAAATAAAACTAATTTTTACTAAATTTACATTATAACTCAATATAGTTTTTCCATGATTTATTATCAAAATATTACACAATTTAACTACAGTACAAAAAATCAAACAGCGACAATCTTTTTTAGACAGAGAGTATATATATGATTTGGAAATGAGATGGTATAATAATTTATGTCAAAAAAAAATACTTGATGAAACATGGGACTGCATTATAAGTTATGTCAAAAAATTACTAACTAATGTGTATCATTTTGAAAAATAAACCGGAGCATGTGAGAGTAAATTAAAGATTCTTGTTATTTGTTTTGCCCTTACTCACTTTAAATATTTTCCTTTTTTTGTGTGTGTGTTTGATCTTCAATTTACTGTCTTTCCAAAAACATGGAACTTTAAGGTGCCTAAACTTCAAAGAGTCAATACACGTACTCTTCAGCTCAAAAGCAACAAATTAAAATAGAATCATATATAGAGCACGCACGGATAAAACAATGAAGAACATATTAAAAACAAACGGAGTTAGGGTTTTTTTCATGTATTAGTGGGTAAAGTGGTTACAAGATTTCTATATTTTTTTTCTAAAATATTTCTCAATTCTTTGAATTATTTTAAGTGCTTATAAGGTCGTTATATTTTTCAAAAAGTGCTTCGCAGACCCCTAAATTATTTTTAGTGTTTATCTAATCCATATTCTTTCCTAAGATTGAACACCCGCAATTGTTCAACCATTGCCCGACGAATATCGTCGCGAGAGGTAACAAAATTTTTTAGTTTTGTATATACTAAAGGTATTGAAGAAGCATACCGTATTGTATTTGCAAATAGCGTCTAAAGTGACTCCAATCAAAGATGCACACATTAAGACATAACTAGCTAGTCATGATGGGCTTTTGTTTGGTCTTCCTCTTTATATTTTTCACGCCCTTTTCATTAATGAATAAATGAGAGAAGTATATCGTTTATCTCCAAATTCTTCAAAAATTGTACGGTTTACCCCTGAACATTAAAAAAGACACCAAGTACTCCTGAATTCTTTAGAAATTACACAATTTACACCTGAACATTAAAAAGTGCACCAAATTCCCTCAAACTCTTCAGAAATTGCACGGCTCTCCCTCTAAACATTTAAATAAAGACAATAATTATGAGGAATGGTACTTTGAATAATACTCGCGATTCTCGTGATGTCGTGCATGGCAGCAAGACACTCCCTATCTAGCATTTTAAGACCAAAGGTGCAACATTTTAAATTGTTCAGGAGTATTTGGTACATTTTTTAATGTTCAGAGGTAAATCATGCAATTTTTGAAGAATTCGAGAAAAACGTTGCACTTTTTAATGTTCAGGGGTAGGTAAACCATGCAATTTCCAAAAAGTTCGAAGGTAAATGATGTACTTTTCTCATATAAATTAAAAGTTTTTCTTTCTTTCTTTCTTTTTTTTTTGAAAAAAATGGTTATCCCCAAAAATGAGACAAGTCATTGTAAGACAGTGAGGTCTATAATGGACCAAGCCAAGAATGTGCCATTCATCTAGTGTTGCAAAAGGTGACCTTTTGCATATTGATACTAACTGTTTCATCATTATTATCTTTTCTTTTTGGCCTACAATTAAATGTCTTTCCAAAAACATGAAACTTTAAGATGCCTAAAACCTCAATACACTGGTGTAAGAAATTAAAATAGAATCACAGAGTACCATAAAAAAAACAAATAAAAAGCAACAGAATTAGGGTTCTTTTCATTTATTCATTCACAAGAAGATAGCATTTACGTACATATAATCCCATCCTCGAAGCTAAAATAATAGAGAAGTTTTGCATATATTCTCAATCTATCCATATATATATATATATATATATATATATATATATATATATATATATATATATATATATATATATATCCAATGAATGATCAAAACCAGAAGAACTAAAAATTACCAATAAAATAAAGAACATCGTGTCCACTAACAATAACTGGGCATCAAGAATCAAGAAACCGGGCAGTGCGATTGATTCATTCAATTCGCCCAATATAGATCCAACGATCGAACTCAAAGTTCCATCAGCTGATTCGCGAAGGCCTCCACATCCCCAAGAAAGTCGTCGTCGTCGTCCCCGAGCGAATCGTTCATCAGCATCGACTCGAGCTCGCCCAAATCCGCAAACCGATTCTCATTCCCAGAATCACAGCCCAGACACCCTTCCCCGGACTCAATCATGTGGCGGGACGACGCCAGCTCGCCCAAATCCCACTCGCACCCGCCGCCCCGAGGAGGGCATTGGGGTCACCGAAGATGTATGGCTTCCCGGCGGGGGAGAAGACGAGGGCGGCGAGGCGGGTTCCCGGGCAGAGGCGGCAGATCTCGCGGGCTTTCTTGAAGAGCCCCTGGCGGCGCTTGGTGAAGGCCACGTTCCTCCTCTGCAGATTCTCGATTTTCTTTATCTCGATCTTGGCCTTCCCTTTCCCCATTCTCGATTCAATGGGGGGAAATTTTCGATTAAGAAAGAAATTAAACAACGTTGTCTGAAGAAGAAGGGAGATTAAGGAAGTTAATTGCGCCAGGTGATGTTCGATCGGTCTGGGGAAGTGTGGTTAAATTATATAGGGCGCGCGGGAGGGCCCGAAAACAACGGGAATTCAGCTGGGACACTGGAAAACGCGTACTTTGCTAAATTTGAGTTTTGTTTTGTGTCCGAAATCCGGATACTTACCACTCCCTGAAAAGATATTCCAAGATTTTTTTTAGTGCTTGCATACCAAGAAAAAGGGGGGTTTAATTTGGGTTTTACAGTGCAGTAAAAGTGGGGCTTCGCAGTAAGTTTTTAGATAGAGTGGAGCAATTGTGATCAAGCACAAGTATACATTTATATACTATTCCCTCCGTCCAAAAATGAATTACACAAAAGTGTGAAATATTTTGTGAGGCAGGGAATATACATGAGCTTTGGGCGTTTGGGGGACTCCGTTCATTAGATTCGTTGAACTATATTCAACTCATTTCGTTGACCTATATTCAACTCATTTAGTCGTTAGAGAATTCGTTTCACTATGTGAAACTCATTCGAAAAGCTACGACCAAAGGGAATCCTTCTCTCGTAGGTCGAGTGACTTCGTACCTCGAAGAGGAAATCTAAGTTGCCAATTCAGGTTTAATATTTTCAAGTGAGATTTGACAACTTTTGATTATTTATTACTCTGTAGAAAAATAAAGCTGAGTACATGTTAGTAAAAAGAAATGCTGATTTTTATTTTTATTTTTACTCTGTAGAAAAATATGCTAGGTGTACTAACATGTACTCAACCACCCATTTTTATTTGATTTTTATTTATTTATTTATTTTTGAATTTCTTGCCAATTTATGTGGACAAGGAGGGGGTGGGGGACATATGTGAGTATACCCCTAGCATATTTCTAGTAAAAATATCTCATTGGAATAACTCCATATTTTGCATAACATTTAAAAAAAAAAATTATTCTATTAATATGAAACACAATTTTTATGTAATTGATGATTCATTTAGTTTGTTTCATAAAAAGTCTAATTATTACACCGAGTAATATTCTGAAATAGATGAAGTAATTACTTTAAGAAATAAACATTATGTAGTATTTGAGAACTAGAATTCATTTGAAATTTCATATTTCAATTCCGGAATTTAGATTGAAGAAAAGTTGAGTTTGAATTGTAGGGAATTAAACACGCAACACACACAAATAATCTACGAGAAACGAGAGAAACGGAACACAAAAGACACACAAGAATTTAACGTGGTTCGGTTTCCCTAATCCACGGCTGCAACAGGAGGATTTTCTTATTTCACTTGTGGTGCCGATTACAAGTACAAGCCCTCTATATATATAGGAAAAAAAAACTAGGGCTAAGCCCAACTGGGCCGGGCCGACAAACAAGCCTCCACAAAGCCCAACATTCTCCCACTTGGAGGCTTGATAAACATCAACTGCCATCCGCCACGATCGCCTGTACATCGAGTAATCTTCTTCAGCTCTCCTGTTGCAGCGGCCCTATCATCAGACAACCGAAAGGCCCGTTGAAGCTCTCCCAAGCTCCAACACATCAGTCACGGCAAAGTCTGTCCCTGACTCGTCCTCGGTCCCTACCGGCTCCCACTGCGGACGCACACTGCCGGATCCTGGAACATCCTGAGAACAAACACTCTCCATACTCAGCAAGAAATTTTCTGGAGATGTTCCAACAGCTGGAATACTGGTTCTCCTGACCCACTGTCTTCTAGGCAACTTGGCTGAAGCACCTCTTGAGCTCCCACTGCCATAAATACCTCTAAGTGGCCCCCTTAAACCTTTCCACGCTCGTTCATCCTGAGTCTGACCAGTGGCTCTAGATTTCTCTCTTGCACAGACAACCTTATTCTGCCCACGAGACTCTGTGAACCGGACTTTGTTTCTCTTCTGAACTGGGACAGTCACTCCCTTAGATGGTGACCCGACCATGTACAACGAACCTCTCTTCTTTCCACGGGCTATGACAAGATTTCCCTTCACGACCTTCCATTGCCCATCTCTGAACTTTACCTCGTGTCCCTGTTCGTCCAACTGCCTGACAGAAATCAAACTTTTCTTCAAGGCTGGAACCACTCTGACATCCTTCAAAGTCCAGAAACCGACTGAGGTCTTCAACACCATGTCACCCATGCCCGTCACCTCAAGAGCACTGTCGTCAGCTAGTCGTACCTTTCCAAAGTCTCTAATAACCAGATTCTGCAATGCTTCACCGCTGTGGATGGCATGAAATGAAGCACCAGAATCCATGACCCAGGTGTTGGGTTTGTGGAGGCTTGGGCTTGACTTTTGGCCCGGCCCATTTTACGAAACCCTAGATGCACTCTTCCTATATATATATATTGCATTCTTGTACTTGTAATCTACACCACAAGTGAAATAAGAAAATCCTCCCGTTGCAGCCGTGGATTAGGGAAACCGAACCACGTTAAATTCTTGTGTGTCGTTTGTGTTCCGTTTCTCTCTTGATTCTCGCAGATATTTGTGTGTGTTGCGTGTTTAATCCCCAACAAGTGGTATCAGAGCTAGATTGTTCAACACGAGCACAAATTGTGAGAAAATTTGTCACCTAGGGTTTGCTATTGTTGGATCGTTGAAGAGTTAGCCGCTTCCTTTTGCACTCGGACACGCAGCAGCGAAGGAGATCTGCCGCCGTGTGGAGGAGTCGCCGCCGTCATCGATAGCAGATCCAGACTCGCCGCTGCCGCCATCAGTGGTCCATCGA